TTTCAAGTTAAGTAGGTTCCATTATAAAATTTTATGCTCTCAAAGAAAAAGGTTAGCAAATAGCCTATTAATAAATATCACAAAAGTAGATAATATCATCATCAAATATAATAGGATATATTTCATCGGCATAAATAGTCCAAAACCAAACCAAATAATTATCATTAAAATTATAGATTTAGTTAGATGTGAGAGTAGTTAAATCTAATAAGTATAATATTAATTCATATTAATCATTTGAAGATTAATAAAGCAGCTAGTCTTCATTGATTATTATATAACTTTCGAGAGAGAAAAATTGAGTTTAATCACTGCTAATTAACTCTTATGAATTACTAAGATTAAAAATTTATGGAATGTTAGAAATAAATAAAAGATTTTAATTTTAAAGATAAACAAAATCTGTCTATTTATAAAAATAAATACTTTTATTATAAGATATTATCTACTTTCCTTAATCAAGATCAATTATAAAACCATACATTTTGTAATGTATAAATTATTAAATTAAAATATATTAGTTACTTATTTAACTAACAAAGTTGTCAGTTTAAGGAATAGTGCCATCATTTTATTAAAAATAAAGACTTTTAGTATTAATCGCAGGAGTTTTTTAAAAGTTATATACAGATTCTTATATTGCTAAATACCCTATTGTAAAATTTACAAATGATTGATGACTATCATAAATAAAAAATTTATTCTCATTACTTTTATCAAAAAGTATATCAGGTAATTAATTTTTTGTGAAAACTGAATTACTTTTATATTAAAAATTACCAAATTAATAAGGATTTAAGTATTAAATCTTTAAAGTATAATCTGTCAGATTATATCTTAATCTAATTTATTATTAATAAGAATTTTACTGAGAAATAATTTGAGTAACGAAGACATCCATTATTTTTTTATCCATATTAATTATTAAATTAGTAATCTTTGATATTTTAGTTATAAAAGATTAATCTAACGGTTTGAAATAATTTACATAACTTTAAGCTTAACCTTAATTATAATAAATTAAATAACTTGTTAGATTCATTATTTAGAAATTGTCAGAAAATATAAAAGCCATAGTTGAGTTTGATGTAATATCTTCAATAATTTAATATTAATTTATTTATGATTAAGTTAAATTTATTGTTGAAATTATTTCATCAGACTATTAGCTTAGAAGGTGCATTTCTAAATGAAAACTGTGACTATTTTGTACAACAATACAATTAAGAATATTCGAATAATAAAATGGTATATTTATTGGTTCAATGAAAGTTTCACATTGAAATTTTTTTATAACTTAAACTAAAGCTATTAAATCTGATTTAATATCGATTTTTATAACTTCACAATCGTTTTTAGTAGAAATCAAAATAAAGAAATCATTGTATTATTTTATTTCTACAAATTTATAACCATTTAAGTTCAATTAGTTTATATTTTGTAATGTTAACTTTCTTTTATCATCCAAAACTCCTATCTTTTAAAAAAAAATTAATTAAGTAATATGAATTTATTACATTGCTATTCTTGAATAATTATTTCTATAGTAGGTTATATATATATAATAAATACTATTTTATAAATTAAAAAAAATAAAAAAAGGTAATCTAAATAGGTTTCAAACCTGAATAAACAAAAAAATTAAAAAATTTAAAATCATAGATTTTATTTTTTACTTATTTTTTCTATTATTATGTTAGAAAATTGTTTAAAGCCTTTTTTAATTATTTGTTTTTAATTTTGTTTAAATAATATTTATTGTTCTATTAAATATAACTACCTACTCAAGAAATTTTTATCAGAGAATAGCTAGCAATAAATAATATTTTAAATTTACTTAAAGTGAAGAATCTTCTCTTTACACATAATAAGTTGTGATATTATTAACATGAGTTTAAAAAAATATAGAAATTTTTAAATAGCCTATTTGATATTAGCTTAATATCTTGTTAATGATATCATACACTAAAAGAGTATCAGATTAGTAGGATTTTAGAAAAATAATTTAGTTTTTTTAATCTACATAATTAACAAAATAATCAAAATTTGTTTTACTCTCAAATACTACTTCAAATGTCTACAAATTCATCACTAATAATCTGCTGCCTGCAATACATCCTCCTTAATTTCCAACAACAAAACTTTCTTAAGTAAATTCATTTCCATTTTAAGTATATAATTAATCATAGTCTGCTATATTTTAAAGGATTTATATATTAATTACCTTCCAGTTATTATCTACTAGAGCAAAAGTACAAGCATTTCCTACAATTACATATTCATCCTCATTAATTGGTTATACTTATATAACCCTCTAAGTGAAAGAAAGATTTTAGCTTTCTTGAATTTAAATGCACTTTACAGTTTCTTCGCAAATTTGTGCTTCCATATTTTAATAAAAGCTTTATGAACATTGATTATTGCATTATTTGAGGTTCGATGGTCCCTAAATAAAGTTTGTTTAAAAAGGGCAAACATTATTCGTTAAAATGCATTAATTATTAGCTTTATCCAGCTTAAAGTTTTAGTCGCATTAATCACATATTTAGTTTGTATTACATTTAACACATCCATAGATTTAGCATTTCACACATTCAAAATTTTCATTTAAAAATTCATTTTTTGAACATTTTTGTACACAAGTAGAACTATCATCAGAGCTCTTAAATAGTCTATCACCACAAGTAATGCATGCTGATTCGTTAGTATTAAAGCAAGTATTGCATGAATCTGAACACTGTAGGCAAGATTAAGCTATCAAAGAGTAAATTTAATTTGGCTTACAGATACTACAAAAGCATATTTTAATTGCGCACAAAAAAATTATGCTAATTATTTTGTAATTCATTCTTTTAAGTTTTACAGATATTTTTAATTTTACAGTTGTTTTAATTTTTTTTTCTTTATTATTAATTACTTAATTACATTCAAAAGGTAATTAATTTTATTCAAATTTATAATGTGATTATCTCAATAGACTTATCTACATAATAATTCATGTAATACAATAGCAATAATTTAATCAATTTGAATAAAAATTAATCATTTGAATAATCAACTCTGTGTTTTATTATATTCATAGTGGGTGTTTTTTTAAGAGAGGGGAAATTCTGCTTTATAAAGTCTTGGCTGAAGAAACATATAAAAGCTTAAAAGAAATAATTCATGTTACAATAGCAATAATTTAATCAATTTCAATAAAAATTAATCATTTGAATAATCAACGTCTGTGTTTTATTATATTTATAGAAGGTGTTTTTTTAAGAGAGGGGGAATTCTGTTTTATAAAGTCTTTGCTGAAGAAATATATAAAAGTTTAATTTCACTATTCTATGATCCATTCATATCAGATAAGATTTTCACCCCCTCTACTCCATTTATTTTAAAATTTATTTTAAATTTTTAAATAGAACATTTTTTATTAGTTTTGAAAAGTAGAATCAAATCTAAAAAAAAGAATCAAATTAATCCATGAAAATACTTAACATCTATAAATGGAAGCGTTTTTAACTTAAATGCAAAATGAATAAAAATAAAATTAAAAATTTGAAATGTAAATAAATTCCAATTTCAAGTTTAGATCATTGATATTTTAATAAAGGTGGGGGACTTAAATTAATCAAAATTATTGATTGAGTTTTGTTAATCAAAGCCTAATTCCATACAGTAGAGGATAAGTATAAAGGACCTTAATGCATATTTAAAACAAAAATTAAGAAGAGATAAAAAGGGATGAAAATGGAAAATAAAGTAAATAAATAGATAACTAATCAAACAATGTATTAAAAAATTTTTAATTAAATTTGATATGTTAATTCAGAGATACAGATATAATTAATACATTCGTATAATTGCAATTGGTAAGAGTGATCTTTCATTATGATGCGAAGGAAATGATATGTATTTGAAATTAGGAGAACAATCTATTGATAGATCAAATCAAATTAATCCTAGATTTATGCTTTATGGTATTATAATATATTTTTAGATTCAAAATAGTATCACAGTTATAGCTACGAATGAAAATTATAAAGAGTTTAAGTATATACATACTTTAACAAAGGTTTTGGTTGGCATTTTTATCAACACTATCAAGGTGGTTTAAAACAATAAACCTTTTATAAAAATTAGAAAGATGATAAGTAGCTAGCTTGATAGCAAGCTTGCGAAACTGGAATCTTTAAAAATGCTATCAAAACTTTGCTGAAAAAATTAGTCACTTTATAATTTATCTTTTACAATTCTTTTTTTGGTTTTTAATAAATAGTGGAAGACCTTTTCAAGAAATCATTAAGTATAAAAGTGAATTATAAAGTAGAATTTTCTCAATATTTTCTTCGTATTTATAACATTATTGATGATTATTAATTTCAGAATATCTATTTCCCCAAATTTCACCATATGTATCACACTAATAGTATGGAGGACTATGTCCTTTAATACAGTAAAACTTTATTTAATTTGATTTAAAATATTTTAAATATAATTTATAAAATTATGTATACTAATTTTCAAAAAATGAATATTTTATTAAAAATTTGAAGAAAAAATTTTTGACCTAAAATTATGAGATTATTAAAAATCAAAAAAAGGAAAATAAGATTTTATAATTATATTATTTAAAATTAATTGTTTTCATATTAAAATAAATATTTAATTAATATGACAAATGAAATATATTTTAAAAATTATTGAAGTTTTAAAATTTATAATCAACAATTTATGTAAATAAATATATCAAGACTTTATTTAAATATTTTAATATTCAACTTTTATCTAGAGAGAGCTGTATTTAAAATTTATGGCTACTATTATATTGATTATTTTATATGGAACTTTCAGTTTCTTAAATAATACTATCCCTTGTATTGCTATTAAATAAGTTTTGCTTATCGAATGTTCTATCTTTTATGGCTATTTTTAAAATTAAAATAATAATTTTATCTTTTCTTAAGAAAGAAAATTAAATTACATATTGAGTTTTATTTAGAATTTCTTGTGTAGTAGGACCATTTGTTTTTCATTCTTTTAAAAGATTTATTTTTTTATAAAGTTTATAATTTTTCATCATTCATTTTAGGTGAAATTATTAAATGCGCTTAGGGTGAAGAAGGTGAAAAAACAGAGTCCTAATTATTTTTTAAATCTAATTATAATTTCAAATGCTATGAGAATAATATATCATTTTTTTAAAATGATTTCATGAATTATTTTATTTTTTGCCTTACTTTTTTAAACTTGAGCAAAGAACTTACCTTTTAATTATTTTATATTTACACATCAAGCAATTAAGGATATTTTGTTTTAAGTTAAAATATGAAATTTTAGAAACATGTTCTTTCCTACTATTGATTTGAAATTTTTAGTCTTAACAATCCTATTATTAAAGTAGCTATAAAAACAAAGTTAAGAAGCATAGTCATAGCTATCCAAAATGTTTAATATAATAAGTTATTTTAATCGCCTACAATCTGTATCATACAAAAATTTATTGATACTGTACATATTAGAGTAGATACTTGCTATAAACTATTAAAATACTTGTTTAAATATGGCTTTGATTTAAATAATAAAAAAAATTTGATCATCAAACAAAGATTCGTAATAGCAACCTATTATATTTTTAAGGTAAGATTAATTAGAATTTGTGCATGAATTATTAAAAGGAAATTAAAAAATAAATAAATTTTTATTTATATTTTTAATATTTTAAATAAACTTGCTAAAAATTGATATTTAATTAAAAAATATTTTTCTTTACTAAATATCTAAAAATTTGAATAATTTTATTAAATTTTTATTTTAAAACAAAATTAAAAATTTTATATTACCTTTAATTAGATGTTTTGCTTAAATAAAACAGATATTAAAATCAAACCTGTTTTATAAGACAATTTCCAAAATTCCCAGTAATAGTATTGTCTTTTATAACCAGCAAATAAGAAAGAATATTTTATTTATTTAATCATTGACTTTTTTTTCGATTTAGCATTGTAAATTTTGTAGAATAGTAATAAAGGTATTAAAAAACCCCATATAAAAATAACAGGAATGGTAAATAAAAATAGGTACGGCTTATGCTAATTTTTATCATAACATTCAATTCCAAAATCTAGATCTAAATATTTTTTATCTCCTATTGTTATACAATTAATAGATCTAATAGCAAGAGTTATTATCATAGGGTAAAAGTAAAAATAAATAAAAATAGCTGCAGTTTATAAATACCTGATAAATAAATCTATTTGAAATCGCTTTAAGATAATTCCTTAAAGCAAGTAAAAAATAAGTATTCCTGCTGGTAAAGTAAAAGACCAAAGAAACTAGAATAGCCACAATGGTTGTAAATTTGGGTATTTAGAAAAAACACAATCAATACTTTTACTAGCCAAGCTAACTGAATTTCCTGATAGTTAAATAGGAACAGTAAAAAAAACAGGCATTTTTGTAGTAAATGAGCATACTAATGATAGTATTTATAAATGATCGGTGAGAATTTTCGAAATAATTTATGACCTATCAGATTAACTTACTTTTTATATTTTAAATTTATTAAATACTACTAAAATGGAATAATTTCTTACATGTTGATCCTAAATAAATAATTTCTAGTTTATTTAAATAATATCCTTTAATTTTAGCTTCTAGCTGCATTATAATTCTTCTTAGGATTATAATAATGTAAAGAGAAATCATTAAGTATATTAGTAAATTATAAAGTACAATTTTATCAATATTTTCTTCGCATTTATAGCATTCTCCGTGATTATAAATTTCAGAATATTTACTTCCCCATATATCACCATATGTATCACACTAATAGCATAGAGGACCTTTATGTCCTTCAATACAGTAAAACTTTATTTAATACATTTTTAACTTAAATAATTAAGTTGGGTAGTAAATTTGAAGAAAAAATAATAATATATTTTAAACTGAATATTTTAAAAGATCCAAAATTACTTTAGAAGAAGAAAGCTATGGTTAGCATGATTGAGGGTTAAAACTGCAGTAGATAATATTGTCAGTATTTTCGTTTTCTCTCCAATATCCGTTTTTTAATTAGATATTAGAACTTATGCATTAAACAGCTGAATCAGGGCATTCTCTACACTCTTGATCATTTAAACTTAAAGAATATTTACCATCAGGGCATGTTTCACATGCTATTGAACTACCATATTATTTAAATATTTATCCTATTGAACACTACTCCAATTCTATATTCAATATTAATTCTATTTAACCTTAATTTACAACAATATTTCCATTAGAATCTATTAGTGAAGGAAAGGAATTGCTCTAGATTTTTAATACCAATTCAGAAATAGGTTTGTAAAAAATCTGAACATCTAAGTTAAAGCCCCCATTTATAAATTATTTTGTTTAAAGTTATCCAATGCATTGTATTTCTTTATTTTCTTAATTCCATTATACAGAAACACTTATTTATTGCAATAACATTTAAACATCACTATTTAATAAATAAAAATCAGTTGAGTTAACATCTATAGATTTTATTGGATTATTTTCTTCGTCAAGCAATTATATTTGTTCAAAATTTATTTAATCTCCACTTTTAAATTTTTTTATAAATATAACTGTATTTTCGTATAACTTTAAACTATTTTTAGGAATTTTTATGTTTTCTAAATTAATAAATATTTTCCTTAAAGAAGAACCAAAATTCTATCCATAAATAAATGCTAGATTATCTTTAAAAGTATTATTATTTTTATTACCTTATTACAGATCAATTAAAAAATCTGGCATAACTAGAGCATAATATATCCCTCCACCAATTTATGCTTAATTTGAAGCTATAACTGAATTTTACATGATCAAATTATTATTTTAGAGATAAATTGAACCTCCTAAAGAATAATATGATTTATTTTCTATTAGCTGAGTTTAGTTTATTTTTAAAACTCCTTGTCTAATAGTATTAATCATATAAATTGCTCCTCCATTTTATAGCTTACAAGTATTTCTCCAAAAAATTGAGTTTTATATAATTATCTATTTGTTATCAAATGCACAAATAACTCCTCCTGGACCATTACTATTTGTGTTGTTTGTAAAATGACTCTCAGAAATAGTAACTAATTTACAATCTTATATCATAACTATAGAAGTATGTTAGCCATTTATATTAGCTAAATCTTTTATTAATACATTATTTAACTCGACATTAGACAATTAATTAAAAAGGATTAAGGGATTATTATTAAGAATAGAAGAATTCATAAATTTTGCTTTAGAAATAAGAGCATATCCTTCACTGTTTTATTGATTCATAGAAAGGAACTAAATTTAATTGTTATTTTAATTGATATTTTCTATTTGTGAGGTATTAAAACTTATTATATTTATTAAACTAATATCTAATTTCGAAAACAAATACTTTATATTCTAAATATTAAAATTAGTAATATTAATTTAATTAGCCTGAATGGTGAAAACAGTTTATGAAACTTAAAGAAGATCAATACTTATTTGAGAAACTTAAAGGTTGTTCATTTTAAAAGAAAATATTATGTCAACACAATCAAATATCTCAATATCCTTTAAAATAGCAGAATCACTTAAATATTAAACTTAATTAATATCTTATTCTTTTATTTCAATTATTCTATTATTTGTTGAGTATTAGAGTTAAATCTTTTAAATAGTTGATATAATTGTGCTTTATATAAAATAAATTGCAGAAAAATAGATTTAAACTATTGAGGTATTCATAATTTTAAGATTATTTATTTGCTAAAGTTCAAAGACATTGTATAAATATTAGCAATTTGTAATATTAACATTTGAAATATTTACCCTTTGGCTTTAACCAATCTAAAAAATATTACTTGAGTTTGAATTAGAAAGATAAACATTGTTAATTAAAACATTAGTATTATTATTTAAAACAAATATAAAACCTTCGTGCCTTTCTATATTTTACAAGATTAATTAATCTATGATAACTAATTCACAGTTAGAAATTTAAATTTAGCTAAAATTTATTAATTTAATGAACACTTATTATAAATAAACCTTTTTAAAATTTTGTAAATTTAGTGATTTATTTAAATTTAAAGAAATATTCAGCATTTAAAAATTTTCCATCATTCCATTTAAATTTAAATTTATTTCAGTTTCTATTAATAGAGACATTTATTTTAAAAATAAATTAAAAAATTGATTAGAAAATTGAATATTGTTTATCCAACTGATTTAATTTTCATATTTAGAAAATAAACTTAAGCTTAATTTGTGTGTTTCATCTCTATTTTAATCTTTAAGATTAATGTCAATTTATTCAATAGATTATCCATCTTGATATTCTATTTCTATTATTGAAAGTATTTATTAAGTGGATTAAATAGATTAAGTTATCTCATTAATAACAGTTTTTGAATAAATATTTTCAGATTTTCTATTCTGTTGTTAAATTTAAACTGAGCATAATTTATTTGTAGATAAGGGTAATACAATTTAACTTATATTTTAGTAATTAGAAACCAACAGAGATGAATATCTTTGATTGCTATAATCTATGATTAGCTAAAAGCTTTATAAAAATACGTTTTTCATTTAATACTCATAAATATTTGAATATGTGCTGTTATATTACAGTTATATGATGGATAATTTATTTTTTTAAATAATAATAAAATAGTTATTATAATTCATATTTATTAAATTATTTGCTTCTATAATTCCTGTATTTAATGTAGGAAATTATTGTTCAAAGCTTATTCCATTGTACACAATTATATCATTTGGGCAAATAGAATATACAAAGTTTTAATCGAAGGATATAATTGCTTACTTCAAGCAAGGATTTTTAATTGTAGTAATAAAATCTAAAGTATAGCTAAATATATTAGTAGTTGCCTCGTTACTAACAGTATAAATGAGTTATTTAATAGGATCATTTACAACATTCATAATTTACTAATTAAATATATTTTTTTAATAAGTGAACTCTTTCTTAAGCAAATCTAAAATTAATATTGTATTTTAATTATCTTACTTTTGTAATATAAAAATATCTTTTGTTATATTTTCCTCATTAACCCGATCATATGTATTAAATCTTTTATTATCTTCAAAAGGAATTTTCCACCAATTATTTTCTTGTGAATTAATTTACTTTATCTATAATTTAAAAGATAATTTTATTTTACCTTCATTAGGTAAAGTAATACTCTCTATCTAGTTAGATTTAATATTGTATATTTATATTTAGTTTTTACTTGGAAGGATAATATAATTACTGCAGATGAATGCATTCGATATATCACCTTATTAAAAATTAGTTAATAATATTTCACCTGAACTAAGTATTTTGGTATTTAAACTATTTAACTAAAAGTTTGACTTGTACAGTAAAAATATTTAATTTGAGCTTGAATCATAAAAGAAGTTATCAGGTGTACTTTATAATTAAATTATAGATACAAACTCTAAAGAATTCTATTAGAGGTTTACTTAAATTATATTTAATTAATTAAATGTAATATATATGAATTGATTTTCTGATATCAATATAGGCTCAGTTAAATATGGATAAATATTCTATTGGGAGATTTCGAATAGCAATGAGTCAACAAGCTTAGCATTATAAAATAAATTGAGTGAGAGATTCGAAATACTATAATAAACTTAATATTCTTCATTTAGATAAACACTTTAAACATTTTAATACTATAATAAGTTTATTTCTGATTAGTAAAGTACTTCTGTAAGATCAAAAGCTATAAAAACTGTATTTGTTTAAACTATTAGCACTTAAATAAGCTAGTTTATGTAAATAGCTAAGATATTTGCTTGATTATATTATTGTAATGAAAACATCTCAATCAATTACATTTCTGGAAACTTCAAAGCAGAAATAAATTAATATGAATATAAGAAAATAATATTTTTATTTTAATCCATCTAAATACCATATGTATCTTTAATAATTGTATTAAATGTTGTTATATTTCTTGTTACATAGTTGCATAAGTATATAACAGGAGTAGTATCAATTAATATTATACTTGTTTTATCTTCAAAGTAGTATGTTGCTTCTTGTAAAAATGAGTTGACTGTGTAATAAGTGAATAAATTTTAATCACCTGGAATAGTCATAATTGTTAATTTTTTTGTAACTCCAGTCACTAGTATCAAAGTGTTTTACTATAAATCATAATAGGAATCTGTATTATTTTCTCTATAATCAAAATATCCTAAGAATCCATAAAGGTCATTTCTTTAAAAATAGTTTGTTTCCATGTCAAATAGACATATGATTAGCTACTCTTTTACATTAACAATTGGTATATTTTATGCATAGTTTGGGTATTATAGCTAATTAAACTAAGATTTCATTTAATAAAAAAATAAATTTTAAATAAAATTTAAAAAATTAATTATTTTTTAATTACCTATAAAAATAGTTCTTAATCTTTTGCAGTAAGTAAATTAATAATTTAAACAATAGGAGAATATATTATTAATATGTTTTCACTACATTTCAAAAAAAATTTAAGATATAAAACAATCTCATCATTTACATCGAAAAATTGTGTTTCTACTTTTAATGAAGCTTTTTCTTAAATCTAAATAATTTAATTCAAATTTTAAATAATAAAATAATAAATTCTTAAAGTTAAAATTACTTTAATTATATATAGATTTTATTACTAAGTCATGGCAACAACAATCTACTGTTCAAAACAATATTAGTATTCAATGATATTTGAGTCTAGTAAACCAATTTATTCATTTATAATAATATTATTATTATTATTTTGATAATAATAATAAATAGTTGAACCACTCACATATATAAAACTATGATTATTCCAATCAACTAACTTGATTTTTAAATCAAACTTAACATTAAAATTTACTTAGCTGACCAATTTGATGCTTTTTATAATATCATAAGTCTAAACGCATTAGCAACTGCTGTCAAAAAAGGCTATTAAATTTTATCCTTTTTCAAAATAAAGATCTTAAAGAACTTAACTTTAAGTGAAATTTAATACTTAAAAAGGCATATTGAGTAAGTTTTTATACCAATAAACTCCATTTACTGATTAGAATATGTGTAATTACTTATCATCAGTATAAATTTAACCAATAAAATTACTTTTATCCTCTTATATTGTGTTTAAAATAATCATATTTTCAGTATCAATTATTTTTTCTGATTATTTTACATAAAAAGTGCTATTTAACTTGTAAAAATCAATATCTTGTTGATGATTAGAAATTTTAAATGACTCAGCTTCTAAAACTTAGAATTTTTTCAACTCCATATCAAATTTATAAAAATTGGTTGAATCATAATAAAATACATATCTCTCAGTTTAAAAAGTATTTTATTATATTTATATTTAATTAGAAGGAAATTAAAATCCTAGATTTAGTTTTGTCTGAATTTACAAATCTTATGAACATATTAATATAATTCCATTATAAAATAAAAAAATTTCTTTTGTTTTTTGATAAATAAAGGTAGGGTTTCTTATTGGAAAAATTTAAAGTTAAGTTGCTTCCTTTATAAAATTTTATGCTCTCAAAGAAAAAGGCTAGCAAATAGGCAATTAATAAGTATTACAAAAGTAAATAATATCATTATCAAATATAACAGGGTATATTTAATTGACACCAACAGTCCAAAATTTAGAAATGCGATTACTATGAAAATTAAATATTTAGGTAGATGTGAAAGTAGTTAAATCTAATAAGTATAATATTAATTACTTTTGATTGTTTAAAGATTAATAAACTAGATAGTCTTCATTGATTATTATATAACTTGAGAGAGAGAAAAATTGAGTTTAATCTCTACTAATTAGCTCTTATGAATTATTAAGATTAAAGATTTATGGAATGTTTTAAATAAATAAAAAATTTTTATTCTAAAAATAAACAAAATTTGTCTATTAATAATTATAACTATAATTATATGATATTATCTACTTTCCTTATTCAACATCAATTATAAAGTCATAAACCATCTAATCTGTAGATTATTAAATTAAAATATATTAGCTACTTATTTAACTGATAAAACTATAAGTTTAATCAGAAGTGTCAGCATTTTATTTAAAATAAAAACTTTTAGTATTAATTGCAGGAGTTTTTTAAAAGTTATATATAGGTTCTTATATTGCTAAATACCCTATTGTACAATTTACAAATGATTGATGACTATCATAAATAAAAAATTAATTCCCATTACTTTTATCAAAATGAGTATCAGGGAATTAATTTTAATTTGAAAGTGAATAATCATCATAATAAAAAGTACCAAATTAATAAGGATTTAAGTATTAAATCTTAAATGTATAATCTGTCAGATTATATCTTAATCTAACTTATTGTTAATTTGAATTAAATTCTGAAAGAATTTGAGTAACGAAGATATCCATTACTTTTTTATCCATATTAATTATTAAATTAGTAATCTTGGATATTTTAGATATAAAAGATTAATCTAAAGGTTTGAAATAATTTACATAATTTTAAGCTTAACCTTAATTATAAGAAATTAAATAACTTGTTAGATTCATTATATAGAAATTATCAGAAAATATAAAAGCCATAGTTGAGTTTGTTAGAGTATCTTCAATAATTTGAAATTAATTTATTTATGATTAAGTTAAATTTATTGTTGAAATTATTTCATCAGACTATTAGCTTAGAAGGAGCATTTCTAAATGAAAACTATCACTATTTTGTACAACAATACAATTGAGAATATTCGAATAATAAATTGGTAAAATTTATGAAAATTAATTTTCTTTAAATCTAAATTGCTATATAACTTAAACTAAAGCTATTAAATCTTATTTAATATCAATTTTTATAACTTAATAATCGGAATAAAAGGTATTAGAAGTCAAAATAAAGAAATCATTGTATTATTTAAAATCTACAATTTAATAATTATCTAAGTTCAATTAATTAATACTTTGTAATGTTAACTATCTTTATTCATCCAAAACTCCTATCTTTTTAAAAATTTGATTAAAGAAATATGAATTTATTTTATTGCTATTTTTGAATAATTATTTCTCAAGTAGGTAGGTTATAAATATAATAAATATTAATTTATAAATTAAAAAAAAACTAAAAAAATAAAAAAAGGTAACCTAAAGGTTTCGAACCTGAATAAATAAAAAAAATAAAAAGTTTTTAATTAAAGATTTTATTGTTTACTTATATTTTTTTCAATTATTATGTTAGAAAATTGTTTCTAGCATTTTTTATTTATTTTTTTAAATTTTATAAAAATAATTTTTATTGTTCAAATAAATATATATTTCCTACTCAAGAAATATTTATCAGAGAATAGCTAGTAATAATATTTGAAATTTACTTAAAGTGATAGCTCTTATCTTTACATATAATAAGTTGTGGTATTATTAATATGAGTTTAAAAAAATATTAAAATTGTTTAATAGCCAATCTTATATTAGCTTAATCTCTTGTTAATAGCATCATACACTAAAAGAGTATCAGAGTTATATGATTGTAGAAAAATAATTGAGTTTTTTTAATCTATATAATTAACAATATAATCAAAATTTGTTTTACTCTCAAATACTACTTCAAATGTTTAAAAATTCATCACTAATAATCTGTTGCCTCCAAGACATCCTCCTTAATTTCCAATAACAAAACTTTCTTTACTTACTTCATCTCCATTGTAAGTATATATTTAATCATAGTTTGTTATATTTTATAGGATTTGTATATTAATTACCTTCCAATTATTATCTAATAGAGCAAAAGTACAAGCATTTCCTACAACTAAGTACTGATCCTCATTAAATGGTTATATTTATATAATCCTCTAAGTGAAAGAAAGATTTTAGCTTTCTTGAATTTAAATGCACTTTACAGTTTCTTCGCAAATTTATGCTTCCATGTTTTAATAAAAGCTTTATGGACATTGATTATTGCATTATTTGAGATTTAATGGTCCCTAAATAAAGTTTGTTAAAAATGGGCAAACATTATTCATTAAAACGCATTAATTATTAGCTTTATCCAGCTTAAAGTTTTAGTCGCATTAATCACATATTTAGTTTCTATCGCATTGAACACATCCATAGATTTAGCATTTCACACATTCTAAATTTTCATTTAAAAATTCATTTTTTGAGCATTTTTGTACACAAGTAGAACTATCATCAGAGCTCTTAAATAGTCTATCACCACAAGTAATGCATGCTTATTCGCTAGTATTAAAGCAAGTATTGCATTAATCTGAACACTAAAGGCAAGATTAAGCTATCAAAGAGTAAATTTAATTTGGCTTACAAATATTACAAAAACATATTTTAATTGTGAACAAAAAAATTATGCTAATTATTTTGTAATTCATTCTTTTAAGTTTTACAGACATTTTAAATTTTACAGTTGTTTTAATTTTTTTCTTTGTTATTAATTACATTCAAAAGGTAATTAATTTTATTCAAATTTATAATGTGCTTATCTCAATAGACTTATCTACATAATAATTCATGTTATATAAAAGCAATAATTTAATCATTTGAATAATCAACTCTGTGTTTTATTATATTCATAGTGGGTGTTTTTTTAAGAGAGGGGAAATTCTGCTTTATAAAGTCTTATCTGAAGAAATATATAAAAGCTTTAAAGAAATAACTCATGTTACAATAACAATAATTTAATCAATTTGAATAAAAATTAATCATTTGAATAATCAGCTCTGTGTTATATTGATAGTGGGTGTTTTTTTAAGAGAGAGGAATTTCTGTATTATAAAGTCATAGCTTAAGAAATATATAAAAGCTTTAAAGAAATAACTTATGTTACAATAACAATAATTTAATCAATTTGAATAAAAATTAATCATTTGAATATAACACTTTGCAATTTAAAAAATAGTCATCGCTATTTATTAGCGATGATTTAATTAATATTTAGAAATATACATAATTTAATTAAAGATTATGTATATTTTTAAAATTTATTTTCTGATATATTTTGATGCATTAAATGAAAAATAGAATGTCATCAAAATATTTATAATTCTTAAAATTTATTTGTGCTTATATAAAAATAAATATGCAATTAATATAATAAGCACAGTATCTATTTATTATTTTTGCCCCTTTAGACTTTATAATTAGCACCTTAGATCATAGATTATTCAAATTTAAAGGAAATTGAACCAATAAGATTGAATGATTCACCTTATTTTTTATTTATAAAAAAGCTATTTCTAAAATTTAGGAATATAGTAAATTTGCTTTATAAGGGGTTTTCAATTTCTTAAATATTATTTAAATTATTATTTATTTAGATTAATTTTTATATTACATTATCTGTATTTATTTCAATTAAATTTTTTTTATTACAAAGAGATTATTATCATAATTATTAGTTTAGGTGCATATTAAAATACTTTCATGTTTAATTAATTATTTATCTAAATAAAAAATAGATTTTTATCTTGGAATTTTATACTTTAAATTAATTGTATAAAATTATAAAAAATACTGAAATAATATAATAATTGTAATATATATTTAAAGTTATTGAAGCTTTTAAATTTATAATAAAAAATTTATATAAATATAATATCATGCATGACTTTATTCAAATTTAGGTATAATTGTATTATTCAACTTTTATCTAGAGATAGCTGTATTTAAAATTTATGGAGGCTATTATATTTATTATTTTAATTGAAACTTTCATTTTCCTAAATATTACTATCCATTCCATTATTATTTATTAAGCTTGGTTTATCAAACGTTCTATCTTTTATGGTTATTTTTAAAATTAAAAATTTTTAAATATTTTTTTTAATTTAGAAAACAAAATTACGTATTTAGTTTTTTTTGGAATTTCTTGTTTAGTAAGACCATTTACTTTTCATGCTTTTAATAGAGTTATTATTTTAAAAAGCATAAAATGTTTCTTCATTTATTTCATATTAGGGTATTTAATGCGTTTTTGATAAAGATTGTGAAAAAACAAAGTCCTAATCATTTTTTAAATCTAATTTAAATTTCTGATTTTATAAGGATAATATGTCATTTTCTTTTAAAAATTTCATCAATTATTTTATTTTTTGTCTTAATTTTTTAAACTTTAGCAAAGAACTAACCTTTTAATTATTTTATATTTACACATCAAGCAATTAAGGATATTTTGTTTTAAGTTAAAATATGAAATTTTAGAAACATGTTCTTTACTACTATTGATTAGGAATTTTTAGTGTTAATATTCCTATTATTAAAGTAGCTATAAAAACAAAGTTAAGAAGCATAGTCATAAATATCCAAAAGATTTAATATCTTAAGTTATTTTAATCACCTACAATCTGTATCATACAAAAATTTAATGATACTGTACATAATAAAGTAGATATTTGCTATAAACTATTAAAGTATTTGTTTAAATATGGTTGTGATTTAAATAATAAAAAAAATTAGATTATCAAACAAAGATTCATAACTGCAACCTATTATTTTTTTAATAATAGAAATAATTTATTGATGGCTTATTTTAAGGACTTTAAATAATAAAATTAATTTTAAATTATTATTATTTGCAATCTATTTATATTTTTGTAACATTTTAAATAAAAACTTAAAATTGATAATTTGTAAAAATAGAACTTTCTTTATTTTACAGCTAAAAATTTGAATAATTTTATTAAATTTTTATTTTAAAACAAAATTAAAAATTTTATATTACCTTTAAATAGATGTCTTGCTTGAGTAAAACAGATATTAAAATCAAACTTGTTTTATAAGATAATTTCCAAAACTCCCAGTAATAGAATTGTTCTTTATAGCCAGCAAATAAGAAAGAGTATTTTATTTATTTAATAAATGACTTTTTTTTTGATTTAGTATCATAAATTTTATAGAATAGCAAGAAAGGTATTAAAAAACCCCATATAAAAATAACAGGAATGGTAAATAAAAATATGTAGGGCTTATGCTAATGCTTATCATAGCATTCAATTCCAAAATCTAGATCTAAATATTTTTTATCTCCTATTGCTATACAATTAATAGATCTAATAGCAAGAGTTATTATCATAGGATAAAAGTAAAAATAAATAAAAATAGCTGCAGTTTATAAATATCTTACAAATAAATCTATTTTTAATTGTTTTAAAATAATTACTTTTATAAAGTAAAAAATAAGTATTCCTACTGGTAAAGAAAAAGACCAAAGCGATTCGAATAACCACAAAGGTTGTAGGTTAGGGTGTTTAGAAAAAATGCAATCAATAGATTTACTAGCCAAGCTAACTGAATTTCCTGATAGCTAAATAGGAACAGTAAATAAAACTGGCATTTTTGTGGTAAAAGAGCATACTAAAGATAGTATTTATAAATGATCGGTGAGAATTTTCGAAATAATTTATGATCTATCAGATTAGTTTACTTTTTAAAAAATAAATTTTTTTAAAAACTATTAAAATGGAATAATTTATTTCTTACATGTTGATCCTAAATAAATAATTTCTAATTTATTTAAATAATATCCTTTAATTTTAGCTTCTAGCTATATAATGATTCTTTTTACAATTAAAAATATATAAAGAGAAATCATTAAATAAAGCAGTAAATTATAAAGTATGATTTTTTCAATATTTTCTTCACATTTGTAGCATTCTCCATTATTATAAATTTCAGAATATCTACTTCCCCAAATTTCACCATATGTATCACATTAATAACATATAGGACCTTTATGTCCTTCAATACAGTAAAACTTTATTTAATAAAAGAATTTAATTAAAAATTTGAATGAAAAAAACTGTATATTTTAAGTTGAATATTTTATAAAGATTCAAATTTACTTTAGAAGTAGAAATTTATGGTTAGCATGATTGAGGGTTAAAACTACAGTAGATAATATTGTCAGTATTTTCGTCTTCTCTCCAATATCCGTTTTTTAATTAAATATTAGAACCTATACATTAAACAGCTGAATCAGGGCATTATCTACACTCTTGATCATTTAAACTTAAAGAATATTTACCATCAGGGCATGTTTCACATGCTATTGAACTACCATATTATTTAAATATTTATCCTATTGAACACTACTCCAATTCTATATTCAATATTAATTCTATTTAACCTTAATTTACAACAATATTTCCATTAGAATCTATTAGTGAAGAAAAGGAATTGCTAACTATTTTTAGTACCAATTCAGAAATAGGCTTATAAAAAATCTGAACATTTAAGTTAAAGCCTCCATTTATAAATTATTTTGTTTAAAGTTATCCATCGCATTGTATTTATTTGTTTTCTTAATTCCATTAAACAGAAACACTTATTTGTTGTACTAAAGATTAAACATCACTACTTAATAATTAAAAATTAGTTGAGTTAACATCTATAGATCTAATTGGATTATTTTCTTCATCAAGCAATTGTATTTGTTCAAAATTTATTGAATCTCCACTTTTAATTTTTTTAATAAATATTACTTTATTTTCATATAGCTTTAAACTGTTTTTAGGAATTTTTATGTTTTCTAAATTAACAAATACACTCCTTAAAGTAGAACCAAAATTCTATCCATAAATATTTGCTAGATTGTCTTTGAAAGTATTATTATTTTTATTGCCTTTTTGAAGATCAATTAAAAAATCTGGCATAACCTGACCATAATATATTCCTCCACCAATTTATGCTTAATTTGAAGCTAAAATTGAATTTTACATGACCAAATTATTATTTTAAAGATAAATTGAACCACCTGAAGAATAATCTGATTTATTTTCTATTAATTAAGTTTAATTTATTTTTAAAACTCCTTTTTTAATAGTATTAGTCATGTAAATAGCTCCACCATTTTATAACTTACAAGTATTAAGCTAAAAAATAGAATTTTATATTATTATCTCTATGTTATCAAGTGCTTGAATAACACCTCCAGGACCATTACTGTTTGTGTTGTTTGTAAAATGACTCTCTGTAATAGTAACTAATTAGCAATTTTATATCGTAAATATAGAATAATATTAGCTATTTACATTATT